TTTCTCCAGAATATAGTCTGTCTTTCTGTGTACGAAATTCTACCCATGCCGTTTCAGGCGTTAAGGAGTGTCAAACATACATACAAACATTCGCTTTTATAATTTAGCAGTCTGACTATGAAAGTAGGTAGGTATCTATATGTAGCCATGAACTTGAACGATTTGGCCAAAATATTATATTCATTTATATTATAATCGAACCGTAATTTAAAGAAAAACACATAATAAAACGAGGAAACAATACATTTTAATTTATTGATAGTTAATTAATTTAAAAAAATACGTATTGTCTGTAGATAGTCTCACTGACAGGTTTTAATCAATACTTAACTCGGCAGTTGGCAGTTTAATTTGTATAATTATAATCTAAACTAGCGGCTCAGCCCCGCTTCACTCGGGTTCCTCCCTAGGTACGTTTTAACAGTTAGTATAGAATATATATATATATATATATATATATATATATACATATTATTTACATATGTATGATACACATAGGTATGATGAGTTGTTGTCGGTTGTATTATAGCGTGTTTTCCCGTAGGAATGAGATAACCTTTCGCGGTAAAAAGTAGCCTATGTCACTCTCCAGCCATCCTATCATCTCCACACAAAAAACACGACAGTCCGTCGCTCTGTTTTGACGTGAAAGAAACAATCAAACTCACTTTCACATTTATAATATTAAAAGTATGGATAATGTGTAGCGAACGTAGTGTTCTAAATTCCTTCGACTCTCACTTTTTATGACTAAATATTGAAGGAACTGGATGTTATACGAATGTATTATATAAAAATTTACATATAGGTTTTATTAATTCATTCACTTATATTAGTAGCGTAGCGAATAAACTCTGAATTGCTTTAAATATTTTTAAATCACTTTTTTAAAATTATGTTAGTTATTAGCCAGTACCATATCGACAAATAATAAGGTACTATTTACATATTTAAAAAATATGTTGAAATATTTTCAAAGTATATTTAGTTTTAGAGTTATACAAAAACATACAAACAAACACAACAGAAATACTTCTTCGGATATTTTTTAATTAGAATAATTTTAACTATTTATTTTATTTTTATTATAGATATACATAAACGTACATGTACATAATAATACAGTAAAATTTAGTTACATACATACATGTATATAGATAAACATATTACATAGGACAGTTATAATGACAGTCTAACCTAATGCGACCGATAGTGTTTTTGAGTAGTTTTTTAAAAATGTTTTATTTTGTTTTCCTTTTTTAGTGGACATTGTTTTGATATACAGTTTATTTAAGTTTATTTAAAACATTAATTATTATCGCAATTACAAAAAAAGAAAGTATTTCAAATTAAACTAAATTAGGATTCAGCTTTGAGATTATCTATCACTAGCTTTCCACGGCTCCGCTCGCATCGTTTATTTAATTATCTTCCATTTGTAGAGGTATTTTACCTAATTTGATATTAGTTAGTGTATACCTTCCTTAATGTATAGAATTTAAAATGCAAAAAGAATTTTCAGGACTGGCACTTTCAGAGCACAAACAAACAAAAGCACGCACTGTTCAGCTTTTTAATAATAATATACACATAGTTGATGTATGTGGCTTCACCTGCTTGTATCTATTTAGCCCACATAATATGTAGCTCATGAACCGCACCTTAGAAGGGATCGAAACGGATCAAAAAATCTTTATTTTGTTTCTTAGCCATTGATGAACTTACGCCGACGTTATCAATAAAAAACAAGTTTGGTTTATTTAGATATATAAATTATTTTTATATGTTTTACTCAAATCCCATTAATATGGATGGATGGATTTTTGTTACTCAAACACGCCAGAACGGCTGAACGGATCTGGATGAAATTTGACCAGAGATAGATTATAGTTTAGAATTGGATAGATTTGCTTTTGATTTTCATAATGGATGAACCCGAGCAAGGTAGAGTCGCTAGTTAACGTATAAGTTTGTTTGTATGTGTGCGTGTACGTAGCAATAGAGTTTAATGATCTGCACTAATATATAGATTACGTCAGTAATAATATTTGCTAAATTGTGACGCTGAAATTTGGTGAATGATACATAAAATTCTATGTAGGTACAAAAGGCACAGAGCAAGCGAAGCAAGCGTAAGTTAGTCAGGAACTAGTTTAATTCATAAGTTATTCATATAAAAAATTGACCTCTTAAGTAGTTATTGTCCGTATGTGTGTCCGAACTCAAAAACTCGTGGGATGTTACTTTAGGTTTGCAATATTCATAGCGCGCGTTGCATACCCCCGGGGGAGAACAAAAACAGCACACCTGTGGTCTTAGTAAACACAGGAGCTGTCAACTATATGGACTTGTTCACATTTAATTATTTAATACACTAAATAAAATTGAATTTTCTATTCGGAATATCAAAATAGGCGAAACCAAGTATCTAAAAGTTAATTTTTTTGTTAAAATTAACTATTTTCTCTGAACTTTCTTATATTTACGCAAATATTACATTTTTTAAGTAAAACTGTTTTATAGGATTTTTTCACGGTTTTGTTATAATGCCCTGTGTTTTATTATTGTGTACTTTTAAATACTGTGCCCCAAAACTCAGATGTATCCACACTTGAGTTTTGGGCACAGCGTTTAAAAGTAGCCTATTTGTTAATCTAAGATAATACATCTCGCTTTCATATCGATTTTTTAAATTCATTCAAAACCGTCAATTTATTAGAGCTTTGAGAAGTGGCAAACACAGTTATAAAGACAATTTACCTATATTATAATATTAGTATGACTTGCAAAATAACAGACTACTAATCGGCCTCTCGTTTGGAACCCCCTGTTTTAAAGTAACCATAGCCTCTTCATGATATCCGGAACGCTATGGGACCGCTAATAAATGCTTAACATTCTTACACTGTATGGAGGCTACATTATAATATATTAGTTTTTGTTTAAACCGTTTAAGTAAAGCTCTTTGAAACAATTTATATGCAGAATACCTTTCCTTTACAAGTTAGAAAAGCTTGTCTCGCTGTATTTCGCCTGTTTGTATTGAAATGTTAAGAACTTGTTGACGACAATTTATTTTGACTTAACGCTTATTTCGCTTCTAACCACTTATATTTTTATTTATAACTAGCCAGTCACCCTCGCTCCGCTCGGGTACGTCCCTACGTTTTAACAGCTAGTATAGATTTCTCAGAGATGAGATATTTTCCCGCAGTAAAAATATCCTAAATGTTGACCCGAATAACCAGCAGCTATTATCATACCGAATTTCATCAAAATCTGTTCTGTGATTTTCTGATACGTTCCCAGACAAGACAGACAGACAAAAATTCTAAAAACTACAACCATTTCAACAAGATTTTACAATAAATATTTAATGTACAGATTCGACTCAGAATTTTATTATATATACCTATAAATAATTAAACCTTTATACATAATAGAAAAAAAAACATTTATATATTTATATACAGATAAAATAGATGAAAGTTATTTTTGCTACAGCAACTGCGTCATTTTATTTATGACAAGGTCTATTTTTCACTGAACTTATCGATTATCGATTTACAAAAAAATACTGAAAATAGTATTTGGTGATGTAAGAGCTCAGAAAATAAAATAAAAAATATGTTTCAGTGAAATAGCCACAGATCAAATCTTAATTTTGTAGAAAGCAATACCCCCGTACTGAAGGGAGGCCCGTGCCCAGCAACGGGACGTTAAAAAGGGCTGAATACACATACATACCAGTGGCGAAGAGTGAAATTTTAGCAGAAGTAAGCCGTATATATATATATATATATATATATAATATATATATATATATATCCTAAAAACATTTATTTACTTTGACATTTATACATTTAAAAAATTAAGTGTATGTAATATTATAGCAAAATAATTTTAAGTTAAGACGTCTTGTATGGACCCTTCGCCACTGCTACATACACAAAGCAATACATGTACATCATTTGTAATGATTCTAGTACTTTATTTATTTAGTTTCGCCTCAAACAATGGACAGTAATAATATTGCACTCAACTAAATTATAATACCATTTAAGGCTTAAAATAGACCCTTCTGCCCGCTCTATCTTATTATGTTAGCCTGAGATAATAGCATGATTTATTTATATCACTTTTGCTTAAGCAAAATCCACGTTCTTAGTATTTGCATGAAGTCAAAGAACTTGTTTTCTTACGAGTTAAGACGTTCAGTTATTTTGATTTTACGAGCTAAATTTCCATATGAATTTAAAATAAGTAGGTACCTACTGTCATATATAATCTATTAAAAGGCTTTTGAATTAACAAATGAATTTATTTTAGTTTTAACGTTTTGTTCACGTAATAGTCTCATTAGAATAAATATTAAAGTATTTATGAAAGTCAATTTTTAGTAAAATTTGTTTATTTTTATATATACGTAATACATACCTACATATATTGTAATTTTCTGAATAAACTCAAGATTATTTTTTTGGAACAAAACATCCGCATAGACTTGGCCGAAAAGGATTTTTATTGTTTATAGTTTCTTTTGCATTTCAGCGTGAGATAAATAGCGTTGCCGACTTGTGATGCACTTATAAATAAAGCTAAGGAAAGAGTTTTGATATTTTTCGTAAATATATTCTGATTTTGATTTTAGATAAAAAAATAATAATATTTAATATAAACATATATTTTGTATAATTAATAATAATATTAACAAATATTTTTCAAATCCAAAATAAATCAAAGTAAACGGTGATCTAAAACTGAATTTATGTTGAATCGACATAATAAATTAAAAAAAATAATTGTTTCAAATAAAATAATAAGTTATTTTTAGACAATCGTACAATTGAGAACATTAGTTGTACCCATAATTTAATTTAAAATTTTAATTTAGTGACATCTTTAACTAAAAATAATTGCAAATAATTTACAGAAATCAAAATAGTGTGAAAATAATATAAAAAAAAAATGACAAAAATATTATAAACAAATGTATCAAAATGGCGTCAGAAAAACAAAATGGTGCGACGACAGACATTGTAAAGATAAACATTGACAGTTCTCTGAGCGGGAAAAATGACACAGAAATGGCGGATAACCAAATCAATATTTCTAAGGAGAAACCTCAAAATGGGAATTTCACCGATTTATTGCAAGTTTCTAACGATAAAGATCAACTGGGGGTTCCCCGACATGGGCACAGGATGTCTTTTATGGAGGAAGAGAGTGTGAAGGATAAAATACGTCTGTCCTTATTAAAACAGTGCTCAGCTATTCTAAAGCAAGGAGACCAAAGATACAGCAAAGAAACTTTACATCGGGCATTTCAGGATGAGGTAAGATTTTTTTAATTTTTTATCCCCGATATACGACGGACGAAGGAACATGTTACTAGATCCTTTCACCAACAACAATGGAAAGTAAAAATGTTTAATTTTTTACTTTTTAAGATTAATCATTATTTATTAAGTGTAAATAATTGCGTTTATATAAAAAAAGTTTTTAAGTGTGTGGCACATCATACTTTTTAGAGGTCATCGTAACACAAAAGATGTCAAAAATATAATTCTAAGTATTTCTTACGACTTCAAATTTGGTAATTAGGTACTATAAGTAATGATTGTGAATTAGTTATTTGTACAATCTAACGTAAGTGTTATAATCTCGTAACTGTTTATTAAATCGTCATCAAAAGCAAGATGACCTCGATTTTTGAAAGTTTATTTTGTACAAACTTTTACTTATTTGGTCATAAAAACCGCGATTTAATGTTTTTACGCATGGGTTATTTTTACATCTACTAAATTATATACAAAGTGTAAATTCTATTAGATAAAAATTTGATTTTGATATTTTATTAAATGGATGGGATCATCGTCGTTCGACTAAAAAACTGAATGTATTTATACATTTTTGATGTTATACTTCTTTTAGGACGTTTGGAAAAAATTATGAGAGTAAAATTTTTACAATACGCGCGCACACCGACAACCTAAAAGCGATGTAGTGTGTATGTTTGTCTCATTTAGCGAAGTGTTTTCTCATTTAGTTATTTTATTAATTTATCATTCCTTTTACAAAAAGAAAGTTGTGACATACGGGATGAAATCTTTAGCTATTTTTGTTCTGTTACGCCAAATAAGTATAACTTCTTACGAGCGTACACAAGTACACACACAGGTTTTTTATCTAAATACTTATTTCAATAATATAGCGCTATACATCAGAATAAAACGAAGGCTACTTTTTATTCCGGAAAATGTACGGTTCCCGTGGGATAAATTTGTTTTTATATATAATATATTTTTGTAGAATTATACGTAAAGCACACTTCGTGGCCACAATATCAATATTAAATTTACGAAATTTTGCTTGTAAAGTATTTTAATATAGATAATATTTTTTTATTACATGCAATTGATTTGAACCAGATATTGCAATTAAATTTATTATTTTTTAAACAATTTAATAAATGCATTTATTTTGCTATACATTTAATTTTATAACAACTCTTAATTCAGACCCGTTTTTTCTTTTTTTTTCATATTTTCTTAGATTTACGCGAATATGTTACATCTATCTGTAGTATAAAATAAAGTCGCTCTCTGCGTCTATCTGTTTCTCTGCCTACTTCTTAATCACGCAACGGATTTTGATACAGTTTTCAATAATAGAGAGTGATAAAGGAGGAAGGTTTGTGTATATAAATAAATATTTCAAAAAACGATTTTCGTACTATTACATTGCTAACACTGGGTTAAATAAACCTTTAGAAACACATCAAAACAACGTACTAGAAAATTGTAGGTCTTAAAAGGCCTACAGAAAAGTCTGCGATAGCATGTGTCTATCTCCTAAGGTACGCTCACAATAATTATTTTTATCTAGGTATATAAAACGTACCTAGGGACGCACCCAAGCGACGCCAGGGTAAGTCGATAGTTTTAAATAAAACTATTATTTCGCGAACGTTTTCACGTTTTGGTTTTTAAAATATCCTATTTATCTTATATATAAAATTTCCATGTCACAATGTTTGTTACCGTACTCCTCCGAAACGGCTTTACCGATTTTTACCAAATTTTATATGCGTATTCAGTAGGTCTGAGAATCGGCTACTATCTATTTTTCATACCCCTAAGTGATAAGGATAAGGGTGGTCCTCCCAGACCCCACCCCAGGGACGAACCCGAGCGGAGCGAGGGTGAGTCGCTAGTACATATATAATGTTTTTAAAGATCCTATAAGTAAAAAGAAATGCATGAATTATGTAACAAAAAATGCATTATTTTTTTATCATTTACCTCTTTCTTGTAAAGTTAAAATAAAAAAATGTAATACCCAAACTACAAAACTACAAAGGTCGTGTACAAATAATGCCCAAAGTAGATAATTCAGAGAAATAATCAAAGTATTTGTTTTCGCGTATTGCACATCGCAATTTTGCTTCTTAAATGCAACTTGAATTTCTGATAATGAAGTTGGTTGGTATGTCATGGCGTTTTAAATATGTAGGATTTAAATATGATATTCAAGTCATGTTATTAGGTATTAGGTATATTTTTCAGACTTATATTACAAATTCAAAAAAAATATACTTGTGTATGTTTCTTACCCTTACATGCTAAAACTGTTGAACGGGTTTTGATGAAATTTAATACGTAGATAGACTGTGCTTTAAGGAACCATACAAGCCTCTGGCACAAAGGGAGGTCCAAACGAAGCAAGAGCAAGTCGCCAGTGGTATACAAAATTAGCATCCATGAATATATGTGTATCTATAATATTAAATTAATGACATTAGTACTAGTGTGATTGAAAAAGGTATAGTCATACAAAAGTGTATCGGAAATCGAACTGAATATATACCTCTTAGAAAGCTGTTCTTCAAGAACTTAACTAGGCAAGAATAAAAAAAGTACCAAAATCATCAGAAATCATGGTAGTACGAGTGCACTTACGAGTTGTACATAATTAAAATGTCTGTCAATTACTTTCGGTATTCGTTTAAATACTTAAGCATTGTAAATATTGTTTATTGTTGTTGAAAACATTACTCGTATAAGGTCATATAGCTGACCCGAAAGACATTATCCGTTCAAAAATGTTGCTTGTCATCATCGAGTTCATGTATTTTTTATTTACCGAAGAATTTTTCAATAATTTGTCTACTAAAGATTCATTAATTATTTAAGAAATCTGTCAAGTCGGTCTTCCCGTTCACAAGCGATGCGCTTACCAAGCATTTCGATTATGTATAATATCTGTTTGAAGCTAGGCCGTTTGTATGTAGGTATGTTTGTTATTTTTTCACGTTAAAACAGCTGGATGGATTCGGGTGAAATTTAGCTTTTTTACCATCTGCATAGGTACATAGAAGTCGTTATTGTGTCTGTCGCTATAGTGAGTCCCACATAATGACCTACACATAGATAGGATATAGTCTCGACTAACTCATAGGCTACTGTAAAATTACTTATGATAGTTTAACAAAATATGGCTCTGCCTGCATATACCTAATATTAAAAATAAATAAAAAATCGGGCAAGTGCCGTTCAGATATAATTATAATTTTATTGTTTTCGGATTTTCCCCTTTACTTGTGCTATTAAGCATTGCTTCTTGGCAAATTTCATGATTCTAGGTCAACGAGAAGTACCCTGTAGGTTTTGATTGACAAAATATGCGGCAGACGGCCGCAACTTTTAATTGTAGACTTGAGTATTTGACATTAATTTTAACTTGTTTACTCCATGCGTTCCTGAGAAAAGGGGTCTTGACAGATAGATAGACAGTCAGACAGACAGATGGACAACCAAGTGATCTTATAAGGGTTCCTTTTTCCTTTTGAAGCGTGGAACCCGAAAAAGGCACTTAGGGTCGCACACGAGCGATGCGAAGGTAAATCGCTAGTGTAGGTAATATAAATACCAGTTAAATAAACCTCATTTCAATTGAGCCTTGTAAATTATTATATTAACGCATTCTAAGATTAATAGCAAGTGTAATCTATAGCCTCGATAAAGGCATAATGGTAAAGTCGTGACGCGGTTTGTCACGCGCCGTCGTGTGAGCTTCGTGGTGTTACATATAAGATAGACTATCTGTCCTTATGTGTGTACATGATGTTAAATCATACCTAGTTGTTGCTCGTGACTTGGCTTACTCATATATAATAATAATAACTATATTGTCAAATAAATACGACTTACAATATATTTTATATCTAAAGGTACACACACTCCGACCGACAAATACAGTCTCCGACATATAAAATAGGCATCTTTGTGAAAAAAAAAACGTCGGCTCCAGGCCTCGTAAAAGTACAAAGCAACAAATATACTATCGCATTTATAATTTAATAAATGGTCTTATAATATTAAAGACGAATACTGTATCGTTAACTTTTTTATGAAATGATTCCACTAATCAATTTATTTCAAATAGCTGATAAAAACTTTATAAACTTGTTAAAAAATATTTTCTATCTTGCTTCAATACATTAACATAGCATCAGATGAGATTGAATAATTCATGAGTGTGCCCGCCGTATCGATCACACCCTAAAGATCTATCGATCAATAATATATCGATCAATAATATATCGATCAATAATATATCGATCAATGATCCATGGATCACTGCACTGATCTATAGATCAATGTACATGCGGTGCTTCTGATATGATTAAAGCGTTTACAGTCTAGATATAATAGTGTAATAAATATTGTTAGATATGTATCTTAACAACTGTTTTATTTTAGATTTTAGCTTTGATGTGAGAAATTATTACATATTTAATTTATATATTTTAGAGCATACTATTTATAGCAGAGTAAGCATAAATGATGACATGATTTTTTTTACATGTATTTTACATTCAAAAAAAAAATTGATTAGAATTTTTAGGAGATCTGTTTAAGAGTATAAAAAGTAATTCATTATTCAATGAAGCTGAACCAGATTGATGAATCATTTCAACTCAGACTAGTAAGAAACCTTTGCCTTGTGTCCTCAGAGACTTCTAGCAATATAATGACAGTATATCACAACAACAACTGGACGAACTGGGATAAAAGTAGCACATCAGCAATTTTATAAAACGTCGATGTTTGCTGATAAGTTCTACTTTTCGAATGACTTCACCGTGAGGACCAGTTTCACTATATTCGTTGATTATATTTTTTACGGACTATTAAGGTTCTTCAAAGTGCTTTTAAGTCGCCAAATTTCATAATGGTTACAATAAAATTATGCTTACGTCACGTTGGTACCATATCATGGTAAATGAAATTTATTGTGGCAATTTAAGAATGTGAGGATTTTTAAAGTTCCA